TGTGCACGGGCTTCTCATTGCGGTGGCTTCTCCTGTTGTGGAGCATGGGCTCTAGGCGTGCGGGCTTCAGCAGTTGTGGCACACAGGCTCAGTAGTTGTGGTGCATGGGCTTAGTTGCTCTGCGGCGTGTGGGATCTTCCCGGACCAGGGATCGAACCCGTGTCCCCTGCATTGGCAGGTGGATTCTTAACCGCTGTGCTACCAGGGAAGTCCCAGCAGGCGGTTGCTTTTTGTTTTACATCTTTATTGGAGTATAATTGCTTTACAATGGTGTGTCAGTTTCTGCTGTATAACAAAGTGAATCAGCTCTGCATATACACATATCCCCATATCCCCTCCCTCTTGCGTCTCCCTCCCACCCTCCCTATCCCACCCCTCTAGGTGGTCACAGAGCACGGAGCTGATCTCCCTGTGCTATGCGGCTGCGGCAGGCAGATTCTTAACCACTGTGCCACCAGGGAAGCCACAAAATGAGATTTTATACTCACCAATCAGATTGTTAAAAAATGAAAAAAATCTTACAATATCAGTTACAGGGAAAGATGGTGATACAGACACTTGGAAAACAGTTTGGTATTAGCTGGTAAAGCTGAATAAGAAAGTATGCCTATTTAAAGTCAACTGGGCCACACACCCTGTCTGGTGAGTTTTAATGTCCACTAAATTCTCCGACAAAGCCCCAGAAGCTTTTACCCTCTTTTTTGGCTATATGTCTATACAAGCTAAGTAGGATAGAGACTTGAAGTGACTATCTGGAGATATCAGGATCCAACAGGTTAACTGATTTTTTAAAGCAAATTTTAAAAAGTGTAATAAAAATCACTCTTTCAAGGTGGGGGGGCGGGAAGAATGTATGCCAAGACCCAGCAATTATATTCCTAGGTGTAGTTCCTAGCAAATCTCTTGTATATGCAAATCTAGAGATTTACATGTTATTATCTTATAATTTTATGTTAGTTAAATGTTATATATATCCTAATGTGCATGTACTATATTTTATAAATATACTAATTAAAAAAAAAAACTTAGTGGATAAGCTGAAGAGTCAAAAGTTCACACATAACTGAATATATTAGTGAATCAATACAAATCGAGGCAAGGAATTCTATGTAAAGGCAGTACAAATGGAAAAAGAGATGAAGAGTTTAAGTCATTGGAGGTGATCCAGATGTTCTAATGTCTGTTTAATAGGAGCTTAAGAGAGAAAAGAGGAAATGGTAGCAAGGTAATGTTTGAAGAGATGACTGCCAAGGATTTCCTATCACAAGAAAAAGATATAACTCCTCAGACTTAAAAACACAACCAGAAGCAAAATATGGCAGAATAAAGGTAACCACACCTGAATATTACAGTAAAAATTTAGCCCCTTAGAAGAAAAGTTTATAAAGGAACAACAATCATACATCGAGAAGAAAACATTGGAGAATATCTTTATGGTCTTATGGTAAGCAAAGGTTTCTTAAACAGGACTAAAAGTACAGATAGCATGATCTGTTTATATAAGATTCAAAAATATGCCAAGGAAGAATTTCTTACATAAGTCCTAATAAGTGTGAAGCACAAAAGGAAAGATTGATAAATTTGACCAAAATTAAGAACTTCTGTTCACAAAAAGAAACCAAAAAGACAATTCAGAGAAGAAGATATTAGCAATTTTTAGAACATGGAATATACTCATAAGCAAAATATATAAAGAACTCTTACACATCACTAAGAAAAATACAGGCAATCCAACAGAAAAACAGGTAAGAAAGACGAACAGGCAGTTGACTAAAGAAGAATTTCAAAAGACAAATAATGATACGAAAATGTGTTCAAACTCATCAGTAAAAAGGGAAATGCAAATTAAAACCACACTGAAGTATCACTATATGCTCAGCAATTGGTAAAAATCTAAGCTTGACAATACCATACATTAGCAAGCATGTGCAACAATGGGAGCTCCTATATACTGCTGGTGGGATTGTAAACTAGTATACGCATTAAAGAAAAATTGAAAAATGGACAGCTAAAGATATGATGTCTTATGATCCATTCATTTCTATCCTTTTCAAATAACATAGAAAATGTTCATAGTAGTGATTTATAACTGTCAAAAACTGGAAACAACCTAACTGCCTATGAAAAGTAGAACTGAAAACTAAACTGTGGTATATTCATATAATCAAATGAATCAACTCTGACTATAAAAAATTGTGTGGCTCTCTTAGGTGGTAAAAGTATAAAGGGACACAAAGATACTATGGACAAAGAGAGATCTGTGCTGATAGTGTTGTAGTTCTTGACCTGGGTGATGGTTCCATGAGAATTCATTCTATAACTGTTTGAATATCTGCCTATAGTTACTTTTCCGTACTTGAGATAATTTCCAATAAAAAGAATTAAAATATATTAAACTGTCTCCTGGGCCTGTCTACCTCTGCGGGTACAAGTGGATAGATGGATAAAAGAAACAGAAAAAGAGGCCCTGAAGTACAAACTAACATAAATCAGAACTTATAACTGAACAGGCAGATAAAACAATGATGATATAAGCAGCTGTTCAGTAAATGGTGCTAAAATAAGATATGGGGGCACGGGAGGGGGGATTGATTTGGACTCTCAATTTACAGCTTATTGTAAAAGAACTTTAAAATGGATCTAAATGCTATTGGAAATAGCAGAAAAATTTTTAAAAAGAACAAAATATCTATGAAGTTTGTAGAAGTCAGTTAATTTTCTAAAATTAGAAACTGTAATAACCACAAAAGAGCTGACTACAGACACATTAAAGCATACACTTAAAGATGCCAATCCAAATTAAAATTTAAAAAGTAAAAAGCACCCTGTGGAAATGGGTATATAATGTTTTTATTTCATAAAGTCCATAAAAATTGACTGAAAAAAATTAGGACAGTAATAGATAAAAAGTGTAAAATATAGTGTAAACAAATTAAAAACAGTAGCACCATTAAGGTGAAAATGTTCACTCTCACTAGTACTCAGTAGAATGACACTAAAACAGTCCAGTGTACCAAGAAATCAGTGTAAAAGTTATTAGGGATGATAAAGCATTAAAGTTATATAAGGGAGAAATTTTCCATATTTTTTAGGATTACATATTGAGGTTATACAAGGGTGAAATGACATGAAGTCTTGGATTTGATAATACTTTAATAATAACAACTGGGATAGATGAAGCACTGGCCTCTTGGCTGCTCCTCACACACAGCCAATGCATACCTGCCTCAGGCCCTTGAATGTTTGTTTGGCTTCCTCTCTCTGGAATGTTCTTCCTCCCAGTAATCACATACAATGATTTACAGCTATACTTCTTCAGGTCTCTGTCCCAATGTCATCTTATTGGAAAAAGTTTCTTGTACCATGTCACATAAAACATCCCCTTTCTCCACCTTGTCTTTTCAGCACTCACCATTATATATTATATATTCATTTATTTGTGTATCTCTCCCTGCAACAGAGGGTAAACTCTGGAAATAGAGAGTCTGCACATTCTATTCACTGCTGTAACCTCAGGTTGACAGTAGTGCTGGGCATGCAACAGGTATTCAATAAACATATACTGATCTATCAACAGATGAATGGATAAAGAAGATGTGGTACATATATACAACGGAATATTACTCAGCCATTAAAAAGAATGAAATAATGCCATTTGCAGCAACATGGATGGACGTGAAGATTATCATACTAAGTGAAGTCAGACAGAGAAAGACAAATAACATATGCTATCACTTATATGTGGAATTAAAAAAAATAATAATACAAATGAACTTATTTACAAAACAGAAACAGACTCACAGACTTAGAGAATGAACTTATGGTTACCAGGGGGAAGGGTGGGGGGGAGGGATAAACTGGGAGTTTGGGAATGACATGTACACACTGCTATATTTAAAACAGGTAACTAACAAGGACCTACTGTATAGCACAGGGAACTCTGCTCAATATTCTGTAATAACCTAAATGGGAAAAGAATTTGAAAAAGAATAGATACATGTATATGCATAAATGAATCACTTTGCTGTATACCTGAAACTAACACAACATTGTTAATCAACTGTTCTTCAATATAAAATAAAAATTAAAAAAAAAAACATATACTGAATTAAGGAATGTGCTGTCCTGGTTTTTCCTTTTTTTTTTTAAATTTATCTTTGCTAGCACTAAGCTCTCAATGGAGGCACAGAGCCTTTTTGCCTTTTTTCCATTAAAGTCAATGACATGCATGCTCAAATCTCCCTCTATGACATCAATGTGATCAACTCCTCTTCTACCTCTTTAGCCCTCACTTTCTGCTGGGCTCCCTATTTTAACCTCACTATGGTGCTACATTTTAGGAGTTATATATAATATCCCTATTAAGCTATAAACTCTGAAATTGCTTATTCATTTTTTTTTTTTCATTTTTGGCTGCACCATGTGGCTTAAGGGATCTTAGTTCCTTGACCAGGGATCGAACCCGTGCCCCCTTCAGTGGAAGCGTGGAGTCCTAACCACTGGACCACCAGGGAATTCCTGCTTATTTGTTTTTTAATCTCTTCAGTACCTAGTAGAGTACCTCACACACATTAGAAAATCAGGAAATGAATGAATCAATGAGTATATGAGCTACTGTATCTTAAAAATCCTAAAGGAAATAAGTCTTTGGTAATTAGAAAAAAAAATATTTCAGGAGACAGTGATGCTTTTTAAAGACTAAATACAAAAGAGGATGAGAAGCTGATAAGGAAGTAGATCCAAATTTGGAAAGAAAGGAATATTATTAGAGAATGTGGAGGAGGGCACCAGCTGTTTAGAATTGGGACAGAAGTACAGGAGGAGAAGAGCAGGTGGAGTGTGTTAAGGGGAAAAGGTAAGATCATTTGAAAGGTCATGCTGAAAAGGCTTGCTTTTGCATAACAGGCCTAAAGTTTTTAAGGGGAGCTTCCCAGATTTCATCTCAAAGGTGCAGTCTCTCCACTGACCAATTGGGTCATTACCTGCCATACCTCACTTACCTGGCCACTGGTCTCTTGTTAGTTCTCTGTCAACCAACCAGGGTTCCTTCCCTTGTTCCAAGAAGGAGATCACATCTGGTTTAGAAATAGAATGTCCTGCTTACAAAAGAAGTAATGAGATAAGTTTATGATGAGAATGTCCCAGAATTCAAATCCAGTCCCTTCATTATTAAGAAAGAGTCAAAGAAAGATACATCAGATTTATGAAACATAACAGAGGACTTGAAACTTCCCTCATAACTCAATGCAGCTTCCTCTTTCTAACTCTACAGTATTAAAATTATTCCTCTGGAAACAAGCTGTAGAAATCCAAATGGTTACTTGAAAGGTAGGTGAGTATAACACCAGAAGAAGCAGACCTTCTCAAGGCAGAATCTGAATTATTATGGACGTCCTTACCCATTGAAACCAGGTTGCTGTAATTCTCCAACATCACCTCTCTGTATAAATCTCTCTGATCATCATTCAGGTACTCCCACTCCTCCTGAGAGAAGTCTATGGACACATCACTGAACATCACTGACTCCTGGAACAACAACCATGTTAAATTGTTAAAAATTAGATTGGATTAATAAACATAAGTGTTTTGTGATGGAAAGAGAGAAGAGAAAAATAAAGCTAGAAGAGGGAATTCCCTGGTGGCACAGTGGTTAAGAATCTGCCTGCCAATGCAGGGGACACAGGTTCGAGCCCTGGTCGAGGAAGATCCCACATGCTGTGGAGCAACAAAGCCAGTGCACCACAACTACTGAGCCTGTGCCCTAGAGCCTGCGAGCCACAATTACTGAGCCCACGTGCCACAACTACTGAAGCCCATATGCCTAGAGCCTGTGCTCTGCAACAAGAGAAACCACCGCAGTGAGAAGCCCGGGCACCGCAAGGAAGAGTAGCCCCCGCTCACCGCAACTAAAGAAAGCCCGCACGCAGTAACAAAGACCCAACACAGCCAAAATTAAATAAATAAATAAATGTATTTATTAAAATAAATTAATTAATTAAAATAAACCTAGAAGAAGTGAAAACCAGCAAGCATACAGAGTGGGGCTGAATGTCTGGGATGCATCTGGAGGACTGTAAACAAACAAACAGGACTGAATCACTGAGCTTCCACATCATCTGTTTCCTCCAAGGAAATTGCCTGTGTATAGTGGGACACTTCCATTATCCAAGTAAGTCTGGGAAGGTACAAAATCCAGCCAAGATGAGTTTCCTAATTAAATGAAATAGTAATACACAAACAAGTAGCAAATGCTTGTCATATAATATGTTATGAATACATGTGACTATCTTTTCCAAAATAGCTATAAGTAAAATTTCAGAATAAGGGACAAAAAGAAGACATTAAAAGCAGGTTGGACAAAAGCCATCAAGAATCAGAGAGGCGGGGCTTCCCTGGTGGCGCAGTGGTTAAGAATCCTCCTGCCAAGGCAGGGGACATGAGTTCGAGCCCTGGGCCAGGAAGATCTCACATGCTGCAGAGCAACTAAGCTTGAGAGCCACAACTACTGAGCCCATGTGCCACAACTACTGATGCCTGTGCGCCTAGATCCCGTGCTCCGCAACAGAGAATGAAGAGTAGCCCCTGCTCGCTGCAACTACAGAAAGCCTGTGCGCAGCAACGAAGACCCAACACAGCCAAAAAAATAATTAAAAATAAATTAAAAAAAAAAGAACCAGAGAGGCAATGGGGTTCTTAAGAAAACCACTAAAAACAAGAAATGGTAAGAACAATTCAATATGCTGATGAAGAAAAGAAATTCTGATCTAGAAATCTATAACCAAATTTTCATTCTGTTGTGACAACTGAAAAAAGAAATTCCTAGATATGGAACGACTCAGCACAATTTCTTAGGAAACCACCAGAGGCTGTGCTCCACCAAAATCAGAGTAAACTAGAAAAGAGGAAGACATGGGATTCAAGAAATAAGTGAATTAACACGGGAGAACAGTGAAGGAAAATCCCAGCGGGGGGCGGGCCGGAAAAGAGAAGTCTTTGGGAAACAGACCTAGAGAGCAACTAGATGGGAGCAGGGTGAAAAAGGGAATAGGGACGCATGTCTCCATGTTCAAAAGGAAATGATGTGTTTGACCAGATGGAAAATGTATTGATTGGCATGTGGCAGTGATTCTGGAGATTTTGGATATAAATACATGGACAACTAAGCAAATGGGGGTAAGAAAGCAGTTAACCCCAGGAAAAATGAAAGGTTGTAACAGAAAAAAGCCATGAGCTGGCTCAGCAGTGAGTGATATTTGCAGTCCTAAGAATGCGTACACTATTGATTTAACCAAAAATTGTGATATAATAACAGAATCAGAGGAAATGAAGGGTGCAATATGTAAGTATAATGTCCTTTCCACTCTGCAGTAAGTCAGGAGATAATGAGTAAAGCTGATTATCAATATTCAAGAGTTGAGGGCAGCTACCTTTTGGGAGTAGAACTGGTAGTGGAGCCAAATTGAAATAGCACTACTTTACTTCTGAACATGTATAATATGACTTTTAAAAATATTTTAAATTTGCATATAATTCAAGACTGATCCATTCTAATGTCACACTACTGTATAATAAGTTATTCCTTGTTAAATTCTTTCCATAAGCATATTTTTTTCACTGAGTAATATTCTATAATATGGACATAAATGACAACTTCTTTGCTTTCAGACGTTGAGGCTGAAGGTGATCTTTAAAGACCTTTCCAACATTGGCCCAATCTCACCTAAAACCGCCCATTGCTCAACTGTAAATTTCCTTTGTTCCTGAACTACAGGAAATTGGCAGAATGTGATCCAGTTTCACACAATGGCATTACTGATGTCTATCTTGGATCATCTCATGGGGTGTCAGAGCTTTGTACCAACCACCAGTCATACCTTCAAACCTGAAAGTCTCATACATAGGAGATCTTTCTGTGTGTTAAGAATGAAATCAAACAAAACCATTCCACATACTTTCTTACTGGAAAACTTAGGTCTGTGGAGATGATCAGGGCTTTCCCATATGAGGTGCCCCTAATTACCCATCTCCATCCTATCAAATCACTGTCCAAAGCAAATTAGATTGACAAACGGAAAAAAACATTTCTGTTCTACCAAGACTTCTGACACAACTCTGATAGAAGATGCTGAAGGACTTACTAAATGGATTTGTAAACACTGTTTAAAAGAAGGGGGGACTGTGGAGGGAACTGGGTTGTTTAGGAGGAAATAGGGGCCAGGTTCCTGAAGGGGGACCATGTTAACCAGTGAAAAAAACTTTCTTCCAAACATGGTCTCAGTCAGACTGTTTTTACATTATGTAATTAACAATTTGTGGGAACAAATAAAGATACTTGATGAACTCCATAAGCAATTTTCTAATGGATTTTAATCTGATTAAGACCCCTTCAGAGAAACTTGGTAGCTGCCCCTCAGCCCTCTAACAGTTATCTGTAATTTAAGAGTATAAAGATCTTTAACCAGACATTCCTTCCTTTTTTCCAACAATGATTATCTAACCACTTATTTTTTCTATAAATATTTCCACCAAGAGAGAAATTTTTGAATTGGCTTATTAGAGACCTTTTCTTTAGAGCAAGAGGAAGAGAACTTTGGCATTGCTTATAACTAAACTGTCTGAAAGTTGTTTTTTTAAAACACCTAAAAGCTCATGATGAGGAAAGCAAATATTTACACGTATTAGGTAAAAATGACTCTATTTGAGCAAAAAGAAACAGTATCTCACCTGAGCCATGGCTTTGATATTTGCAGAAAAGGACCAGTCTTCCTCTGGGTTCCTCTTCTGGAAAAAGGCAGAGCTGGAGGAGACGAAAAGAAGCTATGTAAGATCCCACTTGCCTCATAGCTCCCAGAATGATCATTTCCCCTCTGTTCACTGCACACAAACAGTTGAGGGGTATCAGTGAGAAGAATGGGCAAATCTCTCATTATCCCCTACTCCAGAAACCTCAAGCTTTGACTAGAGCCAGATAGATCTGGACAACTTGACATGGCTTATAGAACATAGCTTGTATATATACACATATGCACACAAAGATGTACTTTTTAAAAGTACAAATTATAGCATATTATACACACTGTTACTATTTTTACTTAATATATCTTGGACCAGATCCCAACTAGTACATTCAGAGGTACATAATTCTCTTAGCTACATTGGATTATACTAAATGGATACACGTTAATTTATTCAACCAATTTGCTGCCAATGATCATTTGGGTTGTTTCCAGTCTTTCACTATAACAAACAATGCTGTGATATATATTCTTGTACATATATCATTTTACATGTATATAAATTCTGAATGATTAATTCCTAAAAGTTGATCATATGCATTTTAATTTGGATATACATTGGTCAAACCAATTTTCAATGATCTTGGATTGTACAATCAGGTCCCAAGTCCTGACCAAGAAACACCTAGTTGATAAACCAGATCCTCTAATCTTGCCTAGTTGAGAAGACTTTTGGGGTTAATGAGCCTTGACTTAAGAAAACTGAAATCTAGAAAAGCAAATGAAATAATTTTACAGAATTTACAGTAATTTGGGGAAGATATTAAAATTAGCATAACAATATAAAGGAGTTAAAAACTACAGAAATAACATAGAAATGGACGAAACCCACATCACTGATGCTTTAGAATAGCTTTTGACTATAAGTATAGTAATAAAATTCATAATAATTGTGTATATTCTGTGTGCTTCTATACTAATAGAAGTCTAAAACTGTTTAAGGGGAGTAACTGAATTTGTCATCGATGTTTAAATGTTTAAGAAAATTTGTGGGTTTTTGTTTATTGGATATAGAAATGTAATAAACTGAGCATTATAAAAGTGTAAAGGGCAGTGAGCATCCTCTATATATACCAAGCTCCTTGATCATCAAACAATTTATCAATAATTTCATGTAAAACTACTCAGGAAGTAACACCATGGTATCATGTTATAAATTATTTAATGGCTATTTCTACCCCTAGTTACTCACTGCATTCCCCCACAGGTAAACACATTCCAGGAAATGAAAACCAAAGTGATCCACAAATGCCTCTTCTTTAAAACCTGAAAGCATTCCTTTAAATAACTATTATTACTACTTACTAAGTTCTTAGTATTTTTAAAAACCACATAGCCTCTTACATGCCAGGTATTGTGCTAAAAGAAGAAGGGGGGACTGTGGAGGGCACTGTTGATACTAAAGAATCAACAGTAATCCTGAAAGACTTGAAAAGAGTTCCTTCTGCTATACGCCTCACTTTTAAGTCCCCCTTTCTGGTCTCTCTTCCTGGCCTTTCCCTGATTTTAAAGGGAGTTCCTCAAGTGCTGTACCTTCCAAGCAGAATGGGCAGGAAACATCTCACTTCAATAACTCCATACTATGTTTGTCACATTCCCAACCCTCTTCATCTTTGCCCCAGATGGTATCCTCCCAGGCTGAATTCTTGCATCTGGAGGATTTGCTCCTCCCTTTTAAAGCCAACAATCTCTGTGGCCAAGACCATCGTATATTTGCAATGTGACCACACCTGGGGCATGGAGCACTGCCAAAAGATACCACTACACAGAAGAGAGTCTTACAATCTAATAAGTGATTTAAAATTTTTGAGAATTTTGCACTCTTCTAAATAACACACCTCTTTTAATTTAAAAAGAATGTAATGTATTAAATATTTCCATTATTACCCTGAAAATTTCCTGTATGCTAGGAACTGTAGTTGTCTGTTAGTAATAGAGACCTGAAAAGCAGTTTAATTTTTCTTATATAATCAGAAGGCTAGAAGGAGGTAGTGGCTGTGGTCCCCATGATTGTTTTAGACACAATATCTATCATACAATTAAAGATTACTAGACATGCAAGGAGATAAAAACAGAAAACAGCAGCAGAACCAAAGACAATTTAGATACTGGAGTTGGCAAACAAATAATTTTAAATGGCTATAATTAAAATGTTAAAGGCAACCAAGGAAAAGATAGGCAAATGGATGATAAGATGAAGAAACTAAACAGATTTGAAATCCATAAAATTTTGGCAAATTAAGAAACAAAGAAGTCATTGCATGGTTTTGAGATCAGACAAGCAGAAGACAGGATCACTGAACTCAAAGACAAGCCAGCAAAAAATATCCACATGAAGTGCAGGAGAAAAAAAAATAACAGGAGTATAAAAGACACACGAGACACAGTTAAAAGATCTACCATAAACGTTAAGTGGAGTCTCAGAAGGAGAAGAGATTGGAGAGGAATTAATATTTGAATAGATGTATACACTGATGTGTATAAAATTGATGACTAATAAGAACCTGCTGTATAAAAATAAATAAATAAAATTAAAATAAAAACTTAAACAGCAACAAAAGAGCCTATGGGGGAGACCGATCTGAAAAAAAAGTTTTTAATTTAAAAGAGTTTTTTAAAAAATTTGAATAGATTAATTGATTAAAAGTCTCAACAAGAGTTTCAAGAAGCTCAGCAAACCTGAAGAATAATATGTAAGAAGGTAAACAAAACAAACACACAAAACAAAAGCAAAACCACAACCAAGCATATCAGAGTCAAACTGCTGAAAACCAAAGAGACAGGAAAAAATTATTGATAGTACCCAGAGGAATGAAAGATCTATTACCAACAGCACTGATAAAAAAGAAAGGGATAACATGAACAAAATCAGGAATGAAAAAGAGAACATTATTAAAGATAGCATTGACATTAAAAAGATAATAAGAGAATACTAATAACTTTATGTTCTTAAGTTTGAACACTTAGATGAAATGGACAAATTCCTGGAAAAAATACCAAAACTGACAAAACAAAGAGAAACAACAGAATAGCTGAAAAGTTAAATTGATTCCATAATTTAAAATTTACCTATCAAGAAAATTTCAGGCCCAGATAGCTTCATCAGTGAATTCTTCCAAAGTTAAGGATTAACTGTAGTCTTACAATGTAGTGAAAAGAGAACATAAGGAATTCTTCCCAACTCATACGAGGCTAATGTAAGCCTGACACCAATATTTCTCATGAACACACATGCAGAAATTCTACAAAAAGTATTAGCAAATCTAACCCACTGGGGGGAAAATGTAATACATTATGGCTAAGTAGGGTTTATTTCAGGAATAAAAGGTTGGTTCAACTTTTGAAAATCAACATAATTTACCAGATTAATAATAAACAATACCACATTTGATCCTTTCATAGACACAGAAAACGCATTTAAATTCAGCCCTCATTAAGGTAAAAAAGTCTTAGCAAATGAGAAAGAGAACTCCCTCAACCTGATAAATAGCATCTACAATAGGTGCTTTTGTAGATGCTAAATACAAGGACAAATACAAAAATCAACTGTACTTTTAGCAGCAATTGGAAATCTTTCAAAATTTAAATGCTGTTTATAATTTCAACAATAAATGTCAAATACCCAGGTATAAATCTACAAAAGATGTGCACTGAAAATCATAGCTAACTGATGAGAGAAATTAAAGACCTTAACAAATGTAGATATAAGCCATATTTAATAATTGGAAGATGCAATATTGATGTCAATTCTTCCCATATTAACAAACAGATACACAAACAAAATCCCAGCAATGATTTTTCTTTTTTGGTGAGAATTAACAAGTTGATTCTAACATCTACAGGAAATTGATTTCTTGAAAAAGAAAAAAAGTCAGAGGATTAATACTACAGATTTCAAGACAGTGGTACTGCCAAAAGACAAAAAAGAATACAGTTCAGAAAGAGAGCCACATATATAATACCACCTGATTTATGATAAAACCTCCTTGCAATTCAGATGGGTAAGGATGGTATGTTCAATAAAATAGTGGTGGAACAACTGGGTACTTGAATGGAAAAAAAATTAACCTTTATCCTTACCTCTCACCATACACAAAAATTAATCCAATATGGATCATAGTCTTAAATGTGAATGATGAATTTATAAAGCTTCTAAAAGAAAACATAGGAGTGTATTTTCAAGACCTTGGGAATAATCGAAGATTTCTTTTCAAGATACAAAAAAACCACTAACCCTAAAAGACAAAGTGCTAAAAAACTGCTAGAAAAATGGGGAAAGATATAAATGGGCAATCACAAAAAAAGATTTTAAAATGTTCAAGCACATTCATAATTAAAGAAATTAGAAAACAACACCGAGATACTATGTTTCATGTATTAGATTGGTAAAAACAAAAGGCATGCATGAGGACACATTCTGCTCCTAGGCTGTGGGGAGAAAGAGGCACTCTTACACACTGCAAGTGGGAATGAAAACTGGTACAACAGCTCTAAAGGAGAATTTAGCAATACCTAACAAAACTGCATACACACCTACCTTTTGACCCAGCAATACCACTTCTAGGACTCTACTCTGAAGATACACCTCCAGCAATACAAAAATACATATATACAAAGTATTCATTGCAGCACTATTTCTAGTAGTAAAATATTGACCTAAATGCCCATAATAGGAGAGTGGTTGAATAAACTATGATTAAATCCATATACTGGAATATTATGTAGCTGTAAAAAAGAATTATTAGTATCTCTTTGAATTGCAGTAGAATAATGTCCAGGATATGTCATTAAGTGAAAGAAGCAATGTTCAAAAGAGTACCTAGAATATGTTATCTTTAATGCAAAAAAAAGAGGTGATTCAAAAGAGTACCTGTATCTGCTCATTTGTGCAAAGGAAATACCAGAAGGATAAAAACAGAAATTAACGAGACTGATTATGTACAAGAAGTGGGCAGGAGCCATGTTAATGTTTTCATACTCAAAATATTATGACATGTTACAGTCAACCAGGATGTGAAGGAACCAAAAGTGTAACACACAAAGCTAAATGTAGGAAAAATGAGTAACAAAACTATACTGAAGAGGGTAGTGAAGAAAACTAAATTGAGTAACTTTGGAAACAGCTTTGACTATACAAGTTTAAGTTAAAGAACAAAGAAGTTTCACACAAATACTTTACTGTACTTAGTACATTTATTTTTTACACAAGTATGGGTTAGCAATTCTGCAACTGCTTTATATACATTCTAGGATATGTGTAAAAAATTATTGATACTAAGAAGCATGTTTCTCACTGTTGGAGAAAAGAGTTACAAATAAGGAAATGGCCAAACCTCAAGGGAGACAATTCTCCACGAGTCTTGCATGTTTCTGCACACATTGCCAGATCAGAGACTAAGTGCTATTATTCTGGATAATTTCTGCAAGATGTTTACATAATGAACAGCCTTGGAGGACAGAGATAGTCTCTCTCTAGAGCAAATGCCAGGCATGCTTATTACCCTTTATAAAAGATTCAGGTTCCCTAAATTCAAGGGAGCACATAAATACCTGTGTATTGTGCATCACCCTATGGGTGCAAGTGAACCAGTGCAAGGAAAATACTGATACTTTGGCTACTGCTACCACAATGAGCAGCAAACTTTCGTCTCTGACTCGAAATCTCATGTCTTCTACCAGCATCCATGAAGCTGCCCAAGCTAACTTTTAACTTATAAGTAGGGTAAAATCTCAGATACTTCACAGTTCTTGACAGAATCCCATGGTATTGAACTGGAATTGAAAGTATGAGTATGAACTGGTGGTTTTTAAATATATACAAATAAAGATAGATAGATAGATAGAGATGTGTGTATATACATTTGTTTATTTTCTAGCTCTGTCCGTTGCCAGGAACTAGAGGAATTACACCCAGGTAGAAATGAGCACACCAAGTGCCCAGAGCTTGGTTTATAAATCCACTCTCCAATAAAAGAAACCAGGGCTCCTTGAAGAAATTGCTGATTCCAGGGCTAGAGGAGGGAGAAATACAAGCCTGGAACATATTGGTGCCAGAAAGTAAGACAGTTCTCAAAAAAATAATGGCATGTTGAAAGGACACAGAAGTCAAACTGAAGGAGTTCCTAGTGGCCAAATCTGGGACAATTTGAGCAACAAAATATGTAACAATAATAGATTATGAACTCATAGAATTTTATATATATATATATATATATATATGAGTTCATAAATAAATAATTGAACAAACATATGAGGAATAAGGGACAACTCTTCTTTACACTAGAATTTAATAAATGTAGAAGGAATGATGGAAAGGGAAAATCACCACTAGGCAAACATCACAGTAATAATTGTTACAGATAAGAATTATCAATGGGGCTTCCCTGGTGGCGCAGTGGTTGAGAGTCCGCCTGCCGATGCGGGGTACGCGGGTTCGTGCCCCGGTTTGGGAGGATCCCACATGCCGCGGAGCGAATGGGCCTGTGAGCCATGGCCGCTGAGCCTGCGCGTCCGGAGCCTGTGCTCCGCAACGGGAGAGGCCACAGCGGTGAGAGGCCCACGTACCACAAAAAAAAAAAGAAGAATTATCAATGGATATTAAAATTGATGAGTGAAAGTATAATGAGAAACAGTATTTTTGCATAGTCCCAAAGCACCTCCCCACAAGATACTTATTAATTAAAAAGAGGAATACAGTAATTTTACAAAGGAGGAACCAGGCAGACACCACCTGTAACCAAGTGATCAAAGTTAACATTACCAGTAATGAGATATACTGATATAACTCCTGATATGACACATTGAGAAGAACACAACATTATTTCTGTGATCTTTCTGCCAAAAATGCATAGTCTAAATTTAGTCACGAGGAAACAGCAGACAAATCCAAATGAAAGACATTCTACAAAATAACTGGCCAGTGCTCCTCAAAAGTGTCAAGGTCATAAAAGATAAAAAGGACTAAAGAACTATGTCAGATGGGAAGAGACTAACAAAACAAGACAACTAAATCAATCTGGGAACTTAGATTGGATTCTGGAACCGAACAGGGCACTGATAAGACTATTAGCAAAATTTAAATAAGGTTTGTAAATTAGCAAACGTCTTGTATCAGGGTAAATGTTTACAATATGAAAATGTTTGCACTATGTTTACAATATGAAAATAAAAAGTTTTTTTTAATGAAAAAAATTAAAAGGACAAGAGAACACTTTTAAAAATTGGATATTCAAATGGCCAATAAAGATATGAAAATGTGCTGAACATCATTACACACCAGGGAAATGCAAATTAAAACTGTGATGAAATTCCACTACACATCCACCAGAATAGTTAAAAGATTGATAATTTCAAATAATGGAGACGATGGGGAACACCTGAAACTCTCATACATTACTGGATGGAATGTAAATTGGTACAACATGAGATATTGGTAGTATCCATTAAACATGCCTGCCCAATGATCTAGCAATTCCACTCCTAAATATTTACTCAAGAGAACAGCATTTACGTGTTCACCAAAACCACAGTAGAATGTTCATAGCAGCAACACAATTCGTAATAGCCCCAAATTAGAAAATATCAAATGTCCCTGAACAGTGTAATCAATTAATAAATTGCAGTATACCCTGAAATGTAATGAGAACTAAGTACAATTACACTCAACAACATAGATGAATCTCATAGACATAATGTGGAACAAAAGAAACCAGGCATAAAAGAACATATGCCATATAATTCCATTTATATATGGAATTCAGGAATGGGTAAAATTAATGGTTATAGAATTCTGAATACTGATTCTGGGAGAGGAATAACTGGGAAGGGGCATGAGGGAAACTTCTGGGGTCCTGGCAAAGTTCTTTATGTTGATCTAGGAAACTGTTTTATTGCTGTATACTGAAGATTTGTGTACTTTACTGTATATGTGCTATATGTCATAAAAATGTTTTAAAAAAACTATCAGAACCATGTTTTGGTAGGGACATGGAGCAATGAGATTTTTCAAACACTGCTGTGCAAATATAAATCTGGCACCGTTTTTTGTAAGTATTTTGGCACTATTTGGTTAAGTGGAAGATATATGACCTAGCAACTCGACTGGTAGGTAAACTCATGCATGTGTACCCTATGTAAAGAATGCTCCTGGCAGCATAGCCTATAAAGTCAAAAACTAGAAATAACTCAAATGTCCATCATTATTAGAAGGGATGAATAATAGTAGTATACTTTAAAGGATGGAATACAATATAGCAAGGAAAACAAATGAACCACTATTAGATCTAATATGCATAATTCTCAAAAACATAGTTGTACAAATAAGCAAAGAGATAAAATACAGTATGGCAGCATTCATATAAAGTTTAAAAACGGGGGGAAACTACAGTATAATGCTTAAAGAGGTAAACATAAGCGAAAAAACTTCATACATTTAGCCAGTCACACAAACTTAAGTCACCATAGTGACATACAGCTAGAGATAACCCACAACCCAGCAACAGGGTCGCATACTCAGGGCCTCAAATGGTCACATAAGCACAATCACACATTTACCAAGGGACAGTCAGTCACAACCGGCACTGTCACAGGCACTGCACACCTGCACATGGTCGCACAGTCACAATCACACTAACCACAGATTAAAACCACACAGTATCCACAGGTACCCCCACGTGTACTCTGCAGCCCACAGTCGCACAGTCACACCCCTCTACGAGGACAAACACTATCACATCCACCGAGTCACAAGCTCCTCACACCCCCACATACAATGCCGCACGTGATTACACGCACATCACTGGGTCGCATCCCATCACACCAGCACAGTCACAGGCTCTCAGACTGTGCTGCACACGATTATCAGTGGAATCACACACACGCTCACTACAGGAACAGCTAGACACAATCACGCGTTCATTCATCACATACCACTACACAGACACAATCACACAATTTCAAACTCACCCCCTCAGCGGTACAAAGCCGAGGCTCCGGTCCCGCCCTCTCCTCTGTTTTCCCACTTTAGGTCTTCCAAGCTTCCAAAGCAGCAGAACCTTCCACAGGACTGGAACAGTCACCCATGCAGACCTGAGGGTCCCGTCAGTACGTGACTTTGAGGCTGAATTCAAGAGAGAATAACGTTCTTGCCGAGAAGTCCTCTGGGAAGTGTAGTCAGAGACGTCCCGGCAGTGAGCAAGATGACCGCCGGCCGTCCGGATTCTTCTCAGAGCTCAGCTGCGACCCAGCCGAAAGGATTGTATTCCGTCATCAAACCGCGCATCGGAGGCCTCACGGAGCCTGGCTCAGCCTCGGGCCGTGACTCTCAAAGAAGCTCACTCTGAAGCGTTTGAAAATGGACTTTCCGGGCCCGCCCTACTATCCCCTGGAGTTGAACAGGCTCTGGAAGAAAAGAACTAGTCCGCAAAGGGAGATAATTTGCACAGGCGAGCCTTCTGGGAAATGTAGTTAGGGAGCAGGAAAAGCGGTGGATAGGTCGTTTGAAATTCCTCTTGATTCTTCACAGCCTGCGCTTGGTCACACCCCGGAGACTTCTGGGAGTGTCACTGCGCCCAAGGAGTGCGCAGGCATCCTGGGTCGCCGTTTTGGCTTTTCGGGCATGAGTTTGGTTTGGGGGTTCCTCAGTGCAGAGAGCTTGTGGAACCTGAGCTTCTGAGACCCAAATCTAGTAAGGGAGGACAAAGGGGAGGAAACCAGGAACCTGCAAAGATATTGGGGAGGTTGAAGGGGGAGGAATCGCTAAACGTGAAACCGGGAGGGGTAAACCAAACGGGATGCGTTTCCGATGCTGCGAAGGGGGTTGATGATATTCTGTGCTACTTACTGATTTCTCTGTGGTAGTCGGGGAGTGAGGAGAATGAGGGGGTGGTGAGGCAGGTTGTGCAGGAGGCAAGTAACGAAAGCCCGGATGTGTGTGACTTAGGGTGTTGGGGGTAGTAGAGAGGGGCAGGAACAGAATTGTGTGTGTGTGTCTGTGTCATTGATAATTTAAATGAGTATCACCGTATGTATGACTGGGATTGTATATTGGAAAATAATCTCTGAGCCTCATTGTAAAACAATAACAAGAAGAATAGATCTGGAAGCATTTTCTCTTTTTTTTTTTTTTAGATTTGATGGGAGAAAGGTTACGTAATTGAGCTAATAAATTATTGAAAGCTTGACTTTTATGTAAAACCAGAAGCGTCGATCATGAAATAGAAATAAAAACAGCGCTTTCGTTAAAAAGAAAGTCGGTTTGAAAGGAACTTTTTTCTATTTTCTTTTTTTTTTTTTAATAGGGTGCTTGCTCTTGCTTACAGCCCAGACCCTGGAGTCATAGCCATTCAATCTTACGTATTCTTTTAGTGTCCTGAGGGAGGGGTTTAGGTCTAAGGGAGCTGATTTGTGAAGTCTTGGAGTAAGAAATGACTTTAAAGTTTGATGGGCAGTATCGGCCATTGGAAACAAGCAGAGAAATGAATTAGGGAGTGTTATTCCCATTTTCTGATGAAAACACCATGGTCTAGAGAGATCAAGGATCAAGTTTAAGTTCTTCAAGGAGCCTAGTCAGATCAATGGATTTACTAAATTTTTTTTCTGGTTGCCCCCCCCCCCC